TAGAAAAAACAACAGGCATGCTATAGCCCTAAGATACTGGTATGTTTTCTGTTCCTCAGGTGGGACCATACTCAGAGTGTGGCTTCTGAACCCCAGGATCTCAGCCAGGGATGTTCCCCATGAACAGTGACTGGAGTGGGGCCCACAGATTGGCCTCGTTCTTGTCAGAATGGTACAGAGACCCCTCGAAGCATCCCCTGGTGGGGATAAGCTTTGCTCTCTGGAGAAGCCAGGGCTGGGCCCAGCTTCTAGAAAGTGGCAGAACAGAGCTGGGCGGGGGAGTGTGCTGCCCAGCTGGAAAATTGCGGGGCGTCTTGTCTTAAATATAATATTAAATCGGCACCTTTAATTAGTACACTTAGAAAAGGTCACTAGCAATTACCTGGGACACAAAGAAGGCGTAAGCAGGCAAGAGCCCATGAGGAAGCTGAAAAGGACCATTTTGAGCTGCACATAATTGAGGGGAAAATGGATAAAAGTCCAGGAAATTACAGGGTGGGTGACAGTAGCTGATGGCCCCATCCCTGTCCTGCCCAGGGCCCCCCTTCTCAGGAGGACCTGAGTGTCGGGCCTGAAAGAGCCATTTGGGATATTGGTTGGCTCGTGCGACCTTGGCTGGAGGACCAGTTAGCCTTCCCAGAATCCCCTTGTCCAGCCAGGAGCTAAGCCCTCTCCCACTCTAGGCTGAACCCGGAAGAAAGTTGTCGGGGGTGGTCTGCCTTTTGGGACAGCTACAGACTGCCATGGACTCACTGTTGTACTTGAATCAGCAGGGACTCTAAATTTCCACCTGTGGGCCCTGCCCACACTAGAGAGAAACTCAGTGTTTCTCCAACTTTGCCACCAAAGGACCCCTGAGGGCAAAAGAAAGGTGAGACTTGTTCTCGAAAGTCTGGGCCAGGCAAGAAATGTCTTGACAGCTTTAGGCGGTATTTTGAAAAAAATACGTTAAAGTTTATATTATGCTCCTAACATATTCCTTTTATGGTAGTATAAAATAATTGCTTGTCACTGAATACTGTGAACATTTTGGGATGATATGCTTGATGTATGTATGATGTCATATATATTTCCATCTAGAAAGAACACTGGGCTGGGAGTCTGGAAATTTGGGTCTGAGTCCTGACTCGCTTGCTTACCATCTTACTCTGGGCAACTTGTTAAATGCCTTCAACTTCTCCATCTCTAAAACAGAAGGTTGGGCAGCCCAGATGTCTCTAAGGGTGTTCCAACTGTTTCATAATTGTGCTCCTTCTCTCACTGAAAACCTCCCATCATCTTGGATGCTGCCGTAGCCTACTCTGCTGTTGTGATGTATGACCTTGGTGAAGCTACTTTGCCTCCCTGATCCTTGATTTCCTAATCTGTGAAATGGGTAGAATGATGACTATCAAATAGAGATGCCAAGAGGAAATAATGAGAGAACTCATGTGAGTGGGTCTAGCTTGGTGTCTGGCATGTCATAAATACACACCTCCCCCAAATATGATGAGCAATTCATGCCTGTGGAAGCCCCAAGACTTGAGTCTAAATATCAAATATTGAGATTTATGAGGAGGCTTCAAAAAGTTCATGAGACAATTCCATTAGCTTTCTACTTCGTTTTTTCACAGACTGGAAAAAAGAAAAAAAGTTTACTGTGAATTGAGTGAAGGTTTACAGAGCAGATCATCAGTTTTACATTCAACAAATCATACACTTCATTTCATCTCAATGATTGCCATCCCCCTCCCTCCTTATGATTTGTGTTTCCCTTCCTCCTTCCTTCCCAACCCTTCTCAATTTTGTCCTTAGGAAAATGCTGTCCTTTTGATCTGGAATGGCTAACCATACCTTATATTACTATCTACCACTTGGCTAAAATTGGAACCATGTGGGTGAGTTCTGTTCGAGACCTGAAGGGTGACCAGACGCTATAGTCTCAGGTTCCTCCAGTCTCTTTTGGACCATTAAGTTTGGTCTTTTTTATTTTCAGATAATTTTGAGTTCCACATTTTTCTCCTGTTCTATCCAGGACCGTCTAATGTGATCCCTTTCAGAGCAGTTAGTAATAATAGCCAGGCACCATCTAGTTCTGGCTTCCATTAACTTTTTTGAAGCTCTATCCTATAAAGCTGTGGAAACAAACATGAACTCTTACCCAGAATGCCTGAGAAATCCATCTTACTGTGTGGCCCTGGTTCCGTTACTTAATCACTCTATGTTGCTTTGTCTGTTAACTGGGGATAATGTCGTTGCTGTTGCTAAGTGCTGTTGGTTCCGACTCATAAGTGACCCTGTATAGGGTTTCCGAGGAACAACTAGGGATTTGAAATGCCAACGTTATGGTTAGCAGTCCAGAGCTTATCCTATAGAACTATACCATGAGATAATAGTAAGGGTTAAATGAAATAATTGTTGTTGTTGTTAAATATCGTAGAGTTGGTTCCGACTCAAAGCAACCCTGTACAGGGTTTTCAAGGAGCAGCTGGTGGGTTTGAATTGCCGACCTTGTGGTTTGCAGTCCAGTGCTGATCCTACAATACCACACCAGGAATCCAAATGAGACAATTGTTGTTGTTGTTGTTAAGTGCTGTCATGCTGGTTATGACTCATAGTGACCCTGTATAGGGTTTCCAAGGACTGGCTGGTGAGCTTGAACCACCAACCTTGTGGTTCAAACTGACTTTGTAGTACAGTGCATTAACTCACAGTGCTACACCAAGACTCCAAATGAGATCATAGAACTCCCCGCCCCCCCCCCAAAAAAGCCAAACCCATTGCCGCTGCGTAGATTCCAATTCATAGCGACCCTGTATAGAATTTCTGAGGCTATACATCTTTACAGGAGCAGAAAGCCTCATCTTTCTCCCATAGAACAGCTGGTGGATTTGAACTACCAACCTTTTGATTAGCTTACCCTACAGTGCTTACCCTACAGTGCCACCAGGATTTCTTTAAGTAAGTTAATTGTTTTTAAGTGGCATTGAGTCAGTTCCAACTCACAGCAATCCTGTACAGGGTTTCTGAGCAGTGGCTGATGCGTTTGAACTGTCAACCTTGTGGTTAGCAGTCCAGTGCTTATCCTACAGCGCCACACCAGCATTAAATGAGAAATTGCTTTGTCTAGTGCCTGGCATATGGTTCCCACTGCCATCTAGTCGATTTTGACACATAGCGACTCTATAGGACAGAATAGAACAGTTGCATAGGGCTTCTGAGGTGAAATCTTTATGGGAGCAGACAGTCTCATCTTTTCCCGACATCCTTAAAAATGGTAGCTTTCACTGTCATGTTAGAATGGAGCTATCCTTTGTGAAGTTTAAAAAGCTCATTAATGTTGTTTCTGGATACAATTTCAGCGTTTGGAATCTTTCTACTTAGCTTGATCTTCAGAGCTGTTCAGTAAATAGGAGAACCAACATTTAAAGACAATAGTGAGTCCATCCCACTTCATAAAGTAACTTTAAGTTTTTAAAGAAGTGGTTTGCCCATGGCTGTCTTTTCTGGTCTGACCTCCCCTCTGAGAAGCACATGAAGACCACAGGCCTTTTTCTGCAGAAAATGCCACATTGTACACCCTAACATTGTGCATACAGTCTCTGAGAGTTCAGGAACCCCTGAAGATCCTGGTTTGGCTGTTGACTTTTCTGGTTTTAACACATGCAAAAATATGGCTCTCCATCCCCTGATCACTCTCGACTTAGCTGGGTTCCTTAAATCACTGCAGTGGCCACATAGAACTCAGACACTGTACTCAGTGGTACTTGGTCAGGAAGTTAACAGATTACAATCCAGGATCACAAACACGCAGGGCACAGTTGTTCCAGTGTGAAGAGCCTTTCTTCAGCCATGCCCATAGGAAGGTCTCTCTCTGTCTGACCAATGTTACAAAGCTATTTTAGGCCTGCTGACAAAATGCCCACAGGACAAACCACCTCAGCCTGAAGGCACTCCACTCTAGCTCCCCCAACTAAGTGCCTGGAGGAGACACCCCATCCTGCAAGCAAAGTCCCTCTGCTTTACTCGCTCTGTGGCCCAGGAATTCTACCGCTCTGCCTGTTGCTCTGGCTTTTGGTTTTGTGGCTGCCACTCCTCCGGTCGATGTGCAGGGAACTCAAGTTTCAAAGGACTCACTCCAGTCCTGGCTCTTCTTCCTGATGGTAGTGAGGTCCTCCCTCCTGTTTCTGAGATGGTTCATTTTAGAATTCCACACTTTCACAATTAGGAGGAACTCTGCTAACATCCACAATCGAATCAAATTATCCTCCCAGTTTCTTTTCACATCTCTCCTACCAACTGGGCAGAAACGTTGTTTGGTGGTTGGTGGGAGTTACCAAGACTAAGACTAGAAGAGCCATCTGAAATCATACACTATACTATAGCACGTGTCCCAGCATGTGCTGCAGTTGTAGGCAAACCAAGATAGCTTGCCACCCTATCTGAGGGGCTGTGAAACCAAGTGAAGATGCTAGTCCCCTCAGGCAGGGGCTATAGGTCAGGCTTCCTGGTTGGCCTCTTGCCAGGGCTTTGCCTTCTGTGCAAAGTGAGACACAGCACTTCATTCCCTCTTTGAGGATAGGAATATGGTGATGGTTCCCAGTTAACGGTACATGCACTGGGACAAGTGGGCCTGGGTGGAGATGGGAGCCTGGGTCAGAGACCAATGACATACAAAGGTCTTGGGACTATCAATGACCAAGTAGAGGTTTGCTCCTTAGCCATCACATTGGTGGTGGTGGTTATGCGCCGTGGAGTCGGTTCCGACTCATAGCGACTCTGCATAGGGTTTCCAAGGCTGTAAATCTTTATGTGAGCAGAAAGCCTCATGTTTCTCCCGTGGAACCGCTGGTAGTTTAGAACTGCTGACCTTGAGGTTAGCAACCTGATTCGTAACCACTACGCATTAGGGGGTGAGTTAATTAAATGCTCCCTGCTGGGAGTTCAGCCACCTGAACAAGGTGCCAAGGTATGGGCCTGACCTTCTGCTCTGCCCTCTTCTTGCTCCCTCGGATACTTAGGCTCCTCTGTGACCCAGCTGCTGGCCCGAGACATGGACAATGATCCCCTGGTGTTTGGTGTGTCTGGGGAGGAGGCCTCCCGCTTCTTTGCTGTGGAGCCTGACACTGGTGTGGTGTGGCTCCGGCAGCCACTGGACAGAGAGGTAAGACCTGTTAGTACCCCTCTTCCCTGGGGGGCAGGAGGGGCAGGGAGGAAGCAGGAGTAGACTTTGGGGAGACTTACCATCGTTTAGGGGCCTTCCCCTGAGATTCCTTGCTGGCCCTTGAAGTCATGTCTTCGGCCTAAGGGGTATCCCTCTACGAGAACCAATGCTGATGTCTTGGACTTGAACTGGAATGGGGTGGTTGGGTGTCCATAAGTATCACCATCCGATTAGATGGGCAAAGGGGACAGTAACCCTGGGTTCCTCCCTGTAGAACAAGGGGCACAGTAACCCTGGGTTCCTCCCCTGAAGAACAAGGGGCACATTAACCCTGGGTTCCTCCCCTGTAGAACAAAGGGGACAGTAACCCTGGGTTCATCCCCTGTAGAACAAGGGGCACAGTAACCCTGGGTTCCTCCCCTGTAGAATGGGGCTCTCTGGAGCATAGATGTCTATTCCCTGCCAAATGTTCCTCAAAGGATGTTTTTCAGAAAAGCAGGAACTGGGGAAATAAAAAAACAAAAACAAAACTCTTGCTGTCAAGTTGACTCTAACTCATGACGACCCCGTGCGTGTCAGTGCCATGCTGAACTATATGCCCATGGGTTTTCAATGGCTCATTTTTTAGAAGGAGATCTTCAGGTCTTTCCTTCAAGATGCCTCTGAGTGAATTTGAATCAATAAGATTTCAGTTAGTAGCCAAGTGCTTCACGGTTTATGCCACCCGGACACTCCAAAGACATGATTGCGTTGTTGTGTTATTTGCTCCAATTCATAGTGACCTGAATAGGGTTTCCCAGAGCGACTGGTGGGTTTGAACCACCGATCTCGCTGTTACTTCCCCTACAGCTCCACACAAGGGTTGTTGGTAAGTACCGTGGAATCGTTTCTGACTCACAGCGACCCTGCACAGGGTTCCGAGGCTGTAAATCTTTACAGGAGCAGAACGCCTCATCTTTCTCCTGCAGAACTGCTGGTAGTTTTGAATGCTGACCTTGAGAAGTTGGCAGCCCTATTCGTAACCACTATGCTACCAGAGAGCCTTGGTGATGGTTATGTGCCGTGGAGTTGGTTCTGACCCATAGCGACTCTGTACAGGGTGTCTGAGACTATAAATCTGTACAGGAGCAGAAAGCCTCATCTTTCTCCCTTGGAACAGCTGGTAGTTTCGAACTGCTGACCTTACAGTTTGCAGCCCGATTCGTAATCACTACACTACCAGAGCTGCTTGTTGTTGTTGTTGTTAAGTGCCGTCGAGTGGGTTCCGACCCATAGCGACCCTGTACAGGGTTTCCGAGGGTGTAAATCTTTACGGGAGTAGAAAGCCTCATCTTTCTCCCGCGGAGCAGCTGGTAGTTTCGAACCGCTGACCTTAAGGTTTGCAGCCCGATTCGTAACCACTACACTACCAGAGCTCCTACCAGAGCTGCTTAGCACTTAGCAAATTAAGGTAAGGGTTTGAATAAAGCTTCCATTTCTGCCATCTTCTTACATTTGAGGAACTGGGCCCAGAGATGTCTAGTGACATGCTCAAGATGGCACAGTAATTTAGAGGTAGGGTCAAGACAAGAACCCAAGATTCTTCACTTCTAATAGATTGCTTTTTTATGGAAAGAACCCATATTGTAACCAGCTTCACCAACACAAAGGTCAATGCTGTGTTTTTTTAGGAGAACCATTAGAAGCCCGATCCCAGAAAAATTCCCAGGACAAGGCTGGAGGCTCTGCAGGTCCACTCAGGACTCAGGCCCCAGGTCTCTGCCCACCTCTCTAACAGTCCCTCTCTCTTCTTCCAGACCAAATCAGAATTCACGGTGGAGTTCTCTGTCAGCGACCACCAGGGGGTGAGTGTCCCCCAAGGCCCCTGCTGACCGGGGTGTCATGTTTCTGGGTTTCACAAGGTCCCTGGGCTCCTGGGGTGGAGAAGACCTGGATGATGCCAACACTCATTCTCTGCTCTTCTCTTGCCAGGTGATCACACGGAAGGTGAACATCCAGGTTGGGGATGTGAACGACAATGCACCCACCTTCCACAACCAACCCTACAGCGTCCGCATCCCTGAGGTAGGAGCCTGTGCTGGGAGCCCCTGAGGCTGATGCGCCTACCTTCTCAGGGCATTGGCTCCATCTCTTCTCCTACCCTCAGTCCAGGCATCTGCTCTTGGCGAGCTGGTGAACATGCTGGCAGCTCTGAGAACAGGGGGCCCGCTGCTGGCCATCCAGAAGAGTGGCTGGGCCAGTAGGCTGCTTTGGCTGAGCTCCAGGTGGAGTCAGGGGTGGGGCAGGTGTTCCATTGACCACTAAGTCTGGGCTATAGGCAGAGTGACTTGGCAGCCACCTGCTTTGGACACAGAGGCTGTGGTTCCTGGAAAGGGCTTTGCCTAGTCCTGTACTCTTAACCTCCTCTCCCCATCCCGGTCCCTCTCCCACCTGTCCTTTTGGCCTCTGCTCCTTTGGGTTGTCTGTGTATTCTGAGTGTGTTTGCATGAGTGCATGCATGTAAAATCAAGTCGTTCCTGGTAATTGAGAAGTACAAATTATTGCATTACAAACGGTTCATTAATAAGCTGGCTTCTGGCTTCCGATGGAACCAGGGTCCTCAGTGCTTACTGTCCCTCTCCAGGGTGGCTGATAGCAGTCTTCTGGGTGGGCAGTAAGTAATTCAAAGACCCTGATGGTGGTGGGTAAAGGGATTCTAACTTGATTGGGCTGTAGTAGTGCAGGGTTGGGATGGGAGAAATGGGTACAAGAGTCCATCCAAGATGCAGGTTGGCACCCTGGCATTAGAGTTCTAGCTTCTTTATGTTACAGGTCATTGTATGAGGGAACTAGCAGAGTCTTTAGAGAACATCCTATTGAGTTTATAGATGAGAAAACTGAGGCTCAGAGTGGGAGAGTGACTTTCCAAGGTCACACAGCCTTGACTTTGAGCCTCCAAATTCGAGGAAGGCTCAGATTTCCTAGAGCAGAGGCGGAGAACCTTTTTCTGCCAAACTTTATAACATCATTCGCGGGCCATACAAAATTAGCAATTTAAAAATTAGCCTGCTATACTTGGTTATACATTTAATTAACTCATCCCTAATGTGATGGCTAAGGAGCTCTGGTAGTGTAGTGGTTACAAATCGGGCTGCTAACTTCAGGAACAGCTGTTCGAAACTACCAGCTGTTCTGCACAAGAAATATGAGGCTTTCTGCTCCCATAAAGATTTACAGCTTCAGAAACCCTGTACAGGGTCGCTATGAGTCGGAACCAACTCTAGGGCACATAACCACCACCACCAATGTGATGGCTGGAGTCTTGGTGTGGTGCTGTGGGTAAATGCACTGGACTGCAGGGTTGGTTTGAACCACTAGTTCAGTGGTTCAAACCTACCAGGCACTCCTCGGAAACCCTATACAGGGTCACTATTAGTTGGAACCAACTCAACGATCCTTGACAACAACTACGACAACAATGTGATGGCTGGAACTGCGGTTGCCTTGGCAGGGCCAGACCAAATGACTTGGCGGGCTTTAGAGAATGAAACGTTCTTGTCACCTGCCCTAATATACTGCCCCTGTCTCTGTCCCTGCCTACTTGGCTGTGAGTCAAGGGTCCTCCGCTTGCACCAGGTGGGAGTCAGGTCATCTGTACAATAAGGGAGACGAGAGACTACTGCCTTGTCTTTCTCCTGCCTAAAGCAGGGCTGGAGGAGAGAGAGGCGCCGTCCTCAGCATGGGGGCACAGTGCCCTGCTTTGTGGCCAGTGTGCCTGGGGACTGCAGCTTGGCTTCAGACTGCCTCTCATTTGGAAGTCTCCCTAATTTAATTAAGGGGCTGTACGTGCCAGCCTGTACTCCAGGCCCGGGCTCAGAAACCAAGGGCACTGCTTGGAGTTAATGAGCCTTGGACCCATTGCTCAGCTGCCATCCTGGCAGGCCTGGCTACTCTCTGTCTCCCATGTAGACCAAGGGGATAAGGGGTCACATCCCTTCTCCCCAGCCCCTGGGCCAGAAGCTAGCCTTTTCTTCTTTTCTATGCTGGAAGATGTGACCTCCAGCACCCAGACCTGTCAGCATCCCCCGGGATTCTCCAAAGGTCTCTGCCTACAAGGAGAGAGCCTCTTCAATCATTCATTTATTTAACACATATTTATTGAGTGTCTGCGGTGTGCTTGGCTCTGGGCCATGTTCTCACTTTGCAGAGACCTGGGAGGCTGTTGCCTTGGAGAATGACAGGACCTAGAATGGGAAAACAGGTCTCATTCCCTACTCTGCTCCCAAATTGTTGGGTCCATTTGAGCATATCACTTAGCTTCTCTGGGCTATCGTCCTCCTTGTATAATAAGAGGGCAGACGGGATGAAGTGGACAACCCCTGCCCATCTAATCAACAGAAAGTGGAAAGAGGCCCCTTGTAAAGTACACACCGTCCTTGGAGGAAGGCCCACATGATTCACGTGGTCATGTGTAAACATCATGGTCACTTCGGTGGCCTGATACTTGATGCCTTCCTCGGGCTACTCAGTATGGCCAGTGGGGATGTGGTGTCAGCTGGACAGAGTCCGGGCCACTCCTGACCCAAGGTGGCTTGGCACTGGCCAGCCCTGGTCTGGGATGGCCACCTGAGCTGAAACTTAACTGCCAGCTTAGGCCCTTGCTGGGGTATCAGTAAAGAGTTTGTTGCTCCAGCTTGTAATTGAGCCTAGGGTCTCCTGCTTACATTGAGGTCACCCTGGAAACCTCAGGCTGCTGTCCTTAAGAAGTATGATTCCAGGGATAGAAGTCCTACAGATTTAAACCGGGTGAGAATGCAAACTAGAGAAACGGGTGCCGCCGGAATGCGATGCTTGAGTGTAGAGGGGTCTGCCACACTGGTCAGAGATACCTCAGTCGGCTTCCTGGAGGAAGTGGGTTTCCCTCAGACTTTTGTTGAGGTGACAAGTGGGAACAGGTAGACATGTTGGTGCTGTTTTTGTTAAGTGCCATAGAGTCTGTTCCAACTCATAGCGACCCTGTAGGGGGTTTCTGAGGAGCAGCTGGCTGGTGGGTTTGCTACTCAAACTGAGCTTGTGGTCAAGTGCTTATCCTATAGCGCCAGACCAGGACTCGAGGTCACATACCTGGGTTCTAGTCTTGGCAGTGCCAGCAACTGGGTGGGTGAGACTGTAAACCTGTCACTACCCTCTCTGCTGGCTTTAGTCTCCACAACTGTCACACTAGGGAGCTGGCATCTATGATCTGAGGATGAAAGCTGGTGGGGGTAGCCCCGTCTTACCCTTTGTGCATTATTGTTTCTCCAGGGATGGTGGAGGAGCTCTGGGGGAGATCTATCCACTCAGTTCCTCTCTTGGTCATCCTCGCCCCCAGCCCCCTGACTTCGTCTACCTAACCTCCACTCCCCAGCCTGAGGAGCCCTAGTAATATTTGGGTCTGTTGAGCCCAGAATCTGGGAATAGGCAATTATCGAGAGGCAAATTCCAAGTCTACATAAGGAAGAACTTTCTAACTAGGAGACTAGTTCCAGAGTCTTTTCCTTGTCTGCAGAGGTTGTATTTAGACCCCATCCTTGGAGTTATGCATGCAGAAACAGGAGGACCACATGTTTTAGAAGCCACCCAGTACTCAGTGTTGGGGAAAAACTGACTCAGAAGGTCCCAAACATGCCCTATCCAAATGTCCTGGGGTACTGGTTGGAATGAACATTCCTGGGCCCCTGCAGCAATTCTGACTCATAGTTTGGGGAGAGGCCCAGGAAGCTGCATTTATAACAAACACCCTCAGTGCCTGTGAGGCCAGCCAGTTTGAGAGGCCTTCAAAGTGACCTCTAGGGTGATCGAAGGCAGTCCATCTTTGATGAGAACTTGCTGCTGCCTGGAGGTGTGATTCCCCAAACCCCAAGTCCCTGCGGCCAGGAATAGAGGGATGGGAGTGTGTTCAAGAACAGGCATTGTCTATTTCCCAGACAATTGCTCTGCCACCCTGCCCAGTACACTCAGGCCGCCATTTCTTCCGAAGGCCCCCTGGCCAGTGCCCAGCCCCTGCTCAGGAAAAGCCAGGCAGGTGTATGTGTTTGGGTTTGTTTGTTCTCAGTTCCCTTTCTGCCCACCCCTTTCCCCTCACTAAGCTTTTCTACATGTAATTATCCATTTTATCAGGGTGAAAGGCCCTGCAATTCACTTGTCGAAGCCCTAACGAGGCAGTGTGGATGCTTTCAAGTCCGTAAAGAAAAGGGAAATCCTGCTAGAATTGGCAACTTAATTCACCAAGCCAGCCTCGACAGACCTCATTAAGTCCCCATGTATTCATTTCAGGCTAATGGCTGTCATGCTGACTGCTGTTTGATTTGCTGTAATAGACTTTTATGGCGTTCCAATTTGCTCAAACGTGTTTGCCTGTGTCTATGCCCAGCAGTGCCGCTCCAACACATCCACGAGGTTCCAGAGGTGCCTCGATGACCTTCAGCTCGGCCCCACCCTGCCCCCCTCCTCCCGGGACCCACTCCCTCTTGCCCTGCAGTGGTGCCCTGGGGAGGTGACCTGGGCTTGGTCAGGTGTTGGGACAGGAGGTGGGTGTGAGGTTAGAAGTAGATGGTTTACCAGGAGGCTCCATGGACCAAGGAGTCTAGGAATCTCCTTTGGGTCTCAGGGACAACTGTGTCCTTGAACTTCTAGAAAGTTCTGCGTCCTTGGCCAGGCACTCAAAGCTTTTACTTATCTGTCTTCATCCTTCCTTTTCCAACTCTCGCTTGGTTCTTCTCCATGTGAATCCTCCTTGCCATTCTAAAGGAAAATTTTCTGCTTCTGGGTGTTGACTATGATTCTCTTTTTGATATCTTTCCTTCTCTCTCTAACATACACATTATACTTTTCTAACTAATCCTAGTCCTAGTGTGGGCTAATATGCTGAACTGCAAGGTCGGTTTGAACTGCAAGGTACCTGGTTCAAGCTGCTCCTTGGAAACCCTGTACATGGTCACTATGAGCTGGAACCAACTCAGTGGCACCTAACAACAGGAGTCCGGGTGAGGCACTGTGGGCTAATGAGCTGTAGTGCAAGGTCTGTGTGAACGGCAAGGTCAGCA